AGCCGCCCTGCACCTGCTCTTAAGGGAGAGAGAGCGCGCTGAGTCCTGGGATTAACGCTCGTGCCTCAGAATCTGTATAAGTGCCTAATTTTTGATTTGTTATTTTTCCGCCATGTGCGTCACCCGCCTTATTTTCTTCCTTTCTACGGCTCCCGTTTAGCCGCGAACAACGATTCAGAAGTACTTGCGAGCCCTGCCGCCCATCCCATACGTGATGCGGTCATTAAAACCACCTCGGCCCTCCACGACACCTTTATCATATTAACTATGCGACCCTCCGTCCTTCTTTGCCACGGCTCAATGTGACTTGAAACTACCAGACTTCTGGGCTGGGCTTATACGCCAGTTTCCGTATTCACTTTAGTCAGCTAGCATGAGAAAATACAACTGCGCACGGTCTCCCGTACAGTGTAAAGTGAGTAGTTTATATTTCCTTCATTTGATGCTCAGGAAAGTTGAGATTTGTGAAGCGAATAACTCAAACGACCAAAACAACTGGCCTCCTCGCGATAACAGTGATTCAGCAAATGCTGACTCCTCTTTTAAAAGCGGTTTCGCAGCACATTCAGCTTCAGCTGCTAGAGGAGCGAGTCTGATGGCAATATGGGCCGCCACAGGAAATGACGGAGAGGTTGTGGTCCAACTGCTCTTAAATGTCACGAGACAGGGCCTCTGCACACACTAAAACACGCCAACTCGAAACTAGTAATCCGGACTAAGGCCTAGTATGCTACGCAACGTTTCAACAAAGCAGTGCCATGCATCGCCTATTGTTAACAGCAGAAGCAGAGCGCAAAACTGGTATTTCCCTCAGTCCGCCAGCACCGGAGGAGAGGCCGCAGGAAACGAGGAGACCCAGCTGGACTTCCGAGTCGGGCGCTGTGCCAGCTTAAGCGGGCCCTTGGAAACGCCTCCAGCTCGCCGCGTCTCCTGTCACGTGACGTGTGGCCGCCCGTGCCAACAGGCATGCCGGCTCACCTTCAGCTAATACTCGAAACATGCCCGCGCCCATGCCTCATACTGTTTATATCCTGAATGCTGATATCTAAGAAAAAATAAAATTTTAGGCTGATTTCATTGAAGTATGAAGCAGAACATTTCTTTGTTTGTTTGACCGAACTTACCGGAATTACTTTTCTGTCCACTACCACGTGTTTGTGGATCTGCAATTCTTGCATAACAATCAACTAAGCTAGGTAAACATGGTGTATTTCTCAAAGTGCGAGTGTGTGCGCTTACATGTGCGTGATGAGTGTGCTTGCTACAACTAGGTGTGCGTGCATGTTTAGAGTGTGCGTGCTGCAGTGTGTTTCGTGTGTGCTGTGTGTGTGTGTGTGTGTGTGTGTGTGTGTGTGTGTGTGTGTGTGTGTGTGTGTGTGTGTGTGTGTACATGTGCGTGGTGTGTGCATATGTATGTCGTGTGCATGTGTGTGTGTGCGTGCATGTATAGGTGTGCGTGTACATGTGTTGTGTGCGTGTGTGCGTATGTGTGTGTGTGTACGCGCGTGCGTGAGTGTGCGTGTATATGTGTGTGTGTGTAGTGCATGAGTGGCATGTGTGTGTGTGTGTGTGTGTGTGTGTGTGTGTGTGTGTGTGTGTGTGTGTGTGTGCAGTGTGTGTGTGTGTTGTGTGTGTGTGTGTGTGTGCATGCAGTGTGTGTGTGTGTGTGTGTGTGTTGTGATGCAGTGTGTGTGTGTGTGTGCGTGTGTGTGTGTGTGTGTGCATGTGTGTGTAGTGTGTGTGCATGTGCGTGTGTGTTATGTGCGTGTGTGGTGTGTGTGTGTGTGGCGTGTGCAGTGTGTGTGTGCGTGTTGTGCGTGTGTGTGTGTGTGTGTGCGTGTGTGTGTGTGTGTGCGTGTGCATGTGTGTGTGTGTGTGTGTGTGTGCTGTGTGTGTGAGTGTGCGTGTGATGTGAGTGTGTATGTGCGTGTTGTGCAGTGCATGTGCGTGTGAGCGTGTGCGTGTGTGCATGCGTGTGTGAGTGTGAGTGCATGTGCGTGTTGTGTGTGTGTGCGAGTGCGTGTAAGAGTGCATGTGTGTGAGTGCATGTTGCGTGTGTGCGTGTGCGTGCGTGTGTGCGTGTGCATGTGCGTTGGTGCGGTGGTTCGAAGGTGCATGTGGCGTTGTGCGAGTGTGTGCGTGTGTGATGTGTGTGTGTGTTGCTGTGTAAGAGTGCATGTGCGTTGTGTGTGTTGTGCGTGTGCGTGTGCGTGTAAGGTGTGCATGTGGCGTGTGTGCATGTGCGCTGTGCGTGTGCATGTGCGTGTGCGAGTTGTGTATGTGGAGTTGTAAGTGCGTGCAAGTATGTGCGTGTAAGAGTGCATGTGCGTGTAAGAGTGCATGTGCGTGTAAGAGTGCATGTGCGAGTGCATGTGCGTTGTAAGAGTGCATGTGCGTGTGTAGAGTGCATGTGTGCGTGTAAGAGTGCATGTGCGTGCATGTGTGCATGTGCGTGTGCAGAGTGATGCATGTGCCGTGTGCTGTTGATGTGTGTGTGCGT